CCGGAGCAACACCCGCAACCCGACCGACTTCGCCGCCGACTGCACGATCATCCGAATCCAGATCGTTGCACAAGGCCCAGACGACCAGAACCAGGAGGACGTGCACAACAACCTCGCGCAGAACACCATGGATACAACGACCAAGCACCCCGAGCGCAGCACGATCCTGCCCAACGCGAACACCTTCATGCCGAAAGGGCTCGCGATGAGGGCATCTCGCTTTGGTGCCATCACTGGGCGGCTGGGGAAACGGAGGACGCGGCGAACTCCACATGCGGTCCAGCACCATGTGATACTCAGAATATGGCGACCCTAGCCCAGCATGAGGACCTCCGACTACCCCAGCGACGAGACCATGATGGGCCAGATCACCCTGACGGCGCAGACCGTCCAGGCGAGGGGGATCAGGCACCACGAGAAACTTCCTCACTATCTGAACAACAAGACCTGGCGGGACCCCAACAACACCCCGCACTACCTGAACACCAAGACCCGGATGGACCAGATCAACGTGAAGGCGCAGAACCCCAAGGATACAACGATCGGGAACTACAACCAGCACCTGGACGTGCACAACAACATCGAGCTGGTCACCACCGAGACGGCGATCAAGCACTCCCAGTACGTCACGGCCCTGCCCTACACCTACATCCGGTTTGTGAGCCATGTGGACGTCCCGGATTGCGATTTAGACAGCGCAATGCCGGCGACAGAGCAGAGCCGAGCCTGTGCGACGTGCTGGAAGCAGCAGCCTCAGTGCGAGATGCAAACTACGAACTACCTGAACACCGAGACCCAAATGGACCAGAACGTCGTGATGGCGCAGACCCTTCTGGAGACGGCGATCAGGTACCACATGAACGCCCCGCACAACCTGGACACCAAAACTCGGATGGACTAGATCAACGTGAGGGCGCAGGCGACCCAGGAGACAGCGATCGGGAACTACAACCAACAAGAGAACTATGCGAATTGGCGGTCTGGCTGGAGGAAACTTGGGAAGCTGGTGATCAGGTGACTGACGTCGTTGACTTCACCTACACCCAGCTCCTCCAAGCTGACCTCCCGAACCACGAACGGAAAGATGTCCTCGAGATGTACCGTCGCCTATGTATGGTTGTGCCGGGCCGGCCCCAACACAAAAGAGTTGAGGGTCTACCACCCGTCCAACTCCGGTGGTCGCAGAATGTCACGCGACAGCTCTACCGGTGGATTGCCCGAAGCGCTCTGGTACATGATGACATCACCAGTCTCATGGGCAAGAAATGGCAGAGGGCTGAAAGCCCCACACGGCTATGGAAGACCCTCAAGCCCTCGGCAAAGTCGACGAGTGTCAGACGCCTGGAGGCAATGAAGCCTGACCCAACCCGAGCATACCTGCCCGGACGACCAAAACCACCATGGAGACAGGCACAACCCCGCTCAGGCGAACACCGACGGGCGAGCGAGACTGAAGACGAAGAGGTCGAGTGTGAACCCAACCCGAATGCCACCAGCTCCCATGCCATGAGCTCAATGGACCACACAACCGCGGAACAGACATGGCTGGACCTCCTCGAGCTGGACCAGTCGATCCGGGAGCCAGAATGGTATGACAATGGGCAACCTAGCCTCCTCCCCAAAGACATACTCCACTCGGTTGCGGACGCGATTGGGGAGTTGAACCCGGCCGAAGTTGGCACTATGACGGAGGCCTTACCTACGGTGCTGCACAAAATACAAGAGGAGCTCGAGGCAGTCATAGCCCACCAGCAGGAGACCGCAGCAGTGACCGACTCGAACAAACAGAAGTCGGCTGCCAAGGCCGCTCCGAAGGACCCAACAGAACCCGACGAAGAAGATGGAGATGAACTCACTGAGCACCTTGACGTGCCCACCGTCACAGGGTCGAGCGAAGCTCCACCCAGGCCGGCTCCGGACTTGCCGGAAGAGCAGGATGACCCTCCTGCCGACCATGAGGTGAATGCCCTCATGCAAACAGGCCTCGGAGGCCACACTACGTTGGACAAGCAGAGAGAGCACATAAACGACCTTCACGAGGACCTCCAGGCCCGAGATGCTGGCCAGGCTCACCGCCGTGCATCGCTGCTCCTACGCCAGCTCGAGAACGAACAAAGCTCAGTGACACTTTGGCCAGAAGTGCAGGCGGTGTTAGTGGCGCATATGCGGCAGGATGCAGCACACCTGCCGCAGCCTGGCCCCAGCACAGAAGAGAGGATCTGGACGGAGAAGATGATGCATAGACTGCTACCCCCACTCCGCCGAACGATGCGGGAGCCCGACGGGAGATCACGCAGCCCGCCACCGACACAAGCCAGAGAACCGGTAACGGTGGACTCCCAGGACTCGGATGCGGCCCAAGCCCTCAAGCAGCGGGAGCTCGAGGAGCAGGACCAAAACGACCGAGATGTTGCGCTATGGGAATGGCACCGAGGGCAACAATCGCAGCAGTCGGCCTCGTCCTCCAGTGACCCCGCACCACGTCGCGACGAAGCAGCCCGGGCCCAATTGCAGGACAGGACTGCATTGTTGAGCCGTCTTGGCCTGTCTGGGGGAAACCGGCAGCAATGCGCGAGGCTCAAGCTCAGCTTCGGCACGGCCGACCACATGCACTACCACGAGTTTGACCTGAGTGGCGACCAGGAGGTGACTGTGCGGATGGAGACGTCCTTGGCCTACAAAGAAAGGGTCTACCACCACAAAGGCCGGAGGATTGGCGAACAAGAAGCGGAACAACTCATCCGTGAAGAAGAAGCACGACTGACCAGGGGTTTTGTGCCGGAGGGTGAGTTCCGCCCAGTTGCTGAGCAGCCTGTTGTTTACAGCCTGGGCGACAGCAAACTGCGCAAGCTGTATGATGACTGGTCGGCGGGGAGAGTGAGCGTTCAGGACCTGTGGAAGGAAGGAGGAACGTCGCTGGCGACCTTCTTCGCGGTGGTGTACGACCTCGACCACGACCACAACCAATTCGCTACCTCCCTGGCGGAGCTGGACACATTGCCGCCAGAGGACGCAAGGCGAGCCAGTCCTGGGGTCGAGATGGCCTACAAACAGTGGACGCGAGGGGCCTTGGACGACGCACAGATAGTCGACCTCTATGGACAGAGTGCCCTAGATGGCTTCCGCGCCACGAAGGAGGCAGACGCCACCCAGCTTGATGGCATGGGTGACACTGAGGGCACCGCGGTGCCCCTCGCAGGATCACTACCCCGGGAGCAAGAACCAGGTCATGATGAGGCGGCACTGGTGCAGACGGAGAAGACGACAACCACCAGGGTGCAACAAGATGCCGAGCGCGAGTACTACCTCAAGTGGAAAGCTGGGTGGTACTCTGATGCAGCGGTAGTAGAACAGTATGGCCAGTCTGGCCTCTTCCGGTTTGCAAGCCGAAGGTGGCATGAAAGGCGGCAACAAGAAGATGCCATCCGTGCCCGTGAAACGGCCCGGCCAGGTTCGTCGTCCGACACTGCTGATTGATTTATCTGAAATGTTGCTAGTGCCCGTGGTAAAGGAGCTTCTCTTATGTTTTGCTTGCGTCCATGCAGTTGTCAACATATGGCCGGCCGAGATGTATGATGATGTACAGCCTTTTCTACTGAGTGCCATCTGCCCTCCTCTGGAGGCCTCGGGACGATTTCACTGCTGCTTGTAGGTCGAGATTGGGTTTAATGGCTTTGCCAACTCGTGGGTGGTGGATGCAGTGAAACTTGTACTTGAGACTGGCAGTGACTGCAATTAGGTCAAGCTTTCGCTCCCCCTTCGTCTGAA